TTTCGACTCAATGGTACCTGACAATGTAACTAGTAAAGTCTGGGATGTAATTTGAACCCATCCAACTGACAGGTCATATGTCTAGGATTCTTAAGGAACGTCACAAATTGGGGGAGTAATTATTTTCTACAGCATGTCCAAAAGAACTGATGTCTTGAGAAAGAAACAGAATAAAGGAATTATATGATGAATGCCAGTACCCTTAGAGTAAGCATAGTTGCAGCTTTAGACTTGAGAAGAAATAGCAAATATATTGGTTGTGTGGTACTGTATCAAAATGTTCATAAAAGATTGAACATTTAAGTGAGCTGATTTTTCATATATTCACATCCTTAAAATACATTTCCTTATGTCTCTCTCATTTTAGAATCTGAATTATCCAGAACAGAAAGTTGTGACTGTTGGACAGTTCAAGATTGGCTTGATTCATGGACATCAAGTTATTCCCTGGGGAGATATGGCCAGCTTAGCTCTGTTGCAGAGGCAGTTTGATGTGGACATTCTTATCTCTGGACACACACACAAATTTGAAGCATTTGAGCATGAAAATAAATTCTACATTAACCCAGGTTCTGCCACTGGAGCATATAATGCTTTGGAAACGTGAGTAGTATACAACTTGGAAATTCGTAGAATTTTAGTGAAGCTAATAATTGCAAGTGTGACGTTCCACTAAAAAGAAATGCAACTGATTTAATAATGCTGACCTTTTTGGCAGTTTTCTTTTTGTGACTGGCCTTTTTAAAACTTTTTTTGTGGTTTGGGTGAAAGTTTACAGAGCAAAGTAGTTTCTCATTCAGCAGTTATACACATTTTCTTTTGTGACGTTAGTTGCAATCCCCTCATTGAAACTTCCCGAGTTCCCTGATTCTATTCACCCTTCTTTCCTGCCTTTTGAATGTGATTTTTTAAAACATATGTAAGTAGCTAGATCTCTCGTTGAATCCAGATTGTTGCATTAAATGGAAGTTAGAGTGCTGCTACTGTTTAATACTGGGACAGGGTTCCTGGACCTTCTATTGTTGTAAGTCAAATACCTTTTGTTTGGCAGGGGGTAATTTTTCTTTATTATTGCCTTTTATTATCAGTATCTATATTTGCAGAGGCTTCAAAAAGTTTGTGGAAAATTTCATTATCTTTCAATTCTGTTTTTTTCCATGAACTTTTTGAACCTCCTCATAAATCTGATCTTTGCGGGTTGGCATGAGAATAACATCAACAAATTATACACTGCAATGTTGTATATAATAAAGAACTAATGTATATAAGCAGCTCTGGTAGAGTCATGGTTATGAATTGGGCTGCTAACCTCTATAGTGACAGTTTGAAACTACCATCTGTTCCTCAGGAGAAAGATGAGACTTTCTGCTCCCGTAAAGATTTGCAGCCTCGGAAAACCTGTGTAGGGGTTACTATAAGTTGGAACCAACTCCACGGTACTTAACAACAACAATGTAGTTTATAACAGTACTAAAGAAAGAAAAACAACAGTTGTAGTATGGTTTGTTGTAACTCGAATACTTCTCAAGTTGGAGACTACCTGTACAAAGTACTGACATATTATTTTTTCTTTCAGAAACATTATCCCTTCATTTGTATTGATGGATATCCAGGCATCTACAGTTGTCACTTATGTGTACCAGCTAATTGGAGATGATGTCAAAGTAGAACGAATCGAATACAAAAAATCCTAAAGCCAGGCCTGTCTTGAGTTTCGATTTTTTGTTTTTACCATTCCCCTGTTTAAGTCACATAATTCAACATATAAAGGCACAAATTATATCACTTTTATAATATTTTGCAGTAACGTTTAATGTGTTCTGTTAATACATAATTGATGTAAGCTTCTTGTAAGAAGATAAATTTTGTTTA